GGGGCATAATGGAATTCTATTGGAGCCTGAAGTCATTATTATTGCTTACCCAGAAAAGCCCCACTGAGTGTCAATACCCTTTTTTTTGGAGGATCCTGCCAAGTTGATTTGCAGTCGGAGTTGGCTATTGGTTTGTGTTTCTCAATTAAGTATTTTACAAGGCTTTTTTTTTAATTTGGCAAATGTTGAGTGATGCCAGCATTCAATGGCCTACTGTTCTTGAAATGGCAACCTGGGATCGTTAACACCCGCTGTGATGCAGACATGCATTGTGTGGTTAATACTTCTGCAGTATTAACCACTTCTGCAGTATTAACCACGGTGGCCTGTTGGATTCCAACCGTGATGCGAACCCCTGCCACATGCAACTGCTGGGTTATTTCACCTGCCCCCACATTTCAATGATGGTTGCAACTCTGACATTCCACAAAATGGTACTCATGCTGTGTAGGACTTTGTTGGGTGATCTGTAATGCCATCGACTGTGGATGTCCTTGCATTTATCCACTCTGTGGAAATGAATCATGAGTTTTAAAACAGCGAAGTACCCATGGAAAGTAATCAACTCTTCCTTGGTAAGTAATGAGCATCTGATTATACATTGAAATGGAAGAAATCACAACGATTATCTATACTTGCCTTTGCAAATCTGATTACTTGCAACAAAGCAAATAAATCATCTCTTGAGATTGGGTTTATTTCATTTGTTACACGGATGATCCTGTTTAGCTAGTTGCCCGGATATTTTACAAGGAAGATCCGTGGTGCATGAGCATAGCAGCACCGACAAAACACATAAACTTTGCACACAACGAGTCCTTCTTAATATTGCACAACTAACAAAACGAGGTAGTCAATGGTCGTAAACAAAGCACAGACGATTAAACCCCCCCCCCCCCCCAAGTATAGAATGACAGCAAGAGGTAGAAAGAGAAATGTAGTTACATGCGCAAGTTAAGTTCTATATTTTAATCTAAGTGACATAAACACATACAAATTGTGTAAAAAAAACCCAGTGCAATCATGTGGGAGCAATTGGCGCCAGAATAAAGTTTGTACAGGTGCAAGTATGCGCTGTGTTTTGTTCTAACAGGGACATAAAGAGGGGGAGTGAAGGGAGAGAACCAAGCTCTAGATGAGTGGCAAGGGTACAGTATTCCAGAAACGTGGAAATACTTTTTTTTTTTTACCAGACAAGGTTTTAGCAAATTCTGGAAAACCAGCAATAGTTGTTCGGCTCAACTGATTGCTGATGAGCCCATTGAGGGCAAAACTGATCCGGAGTTTTCACTTTTAAACAAAATCTCTTTGATAAACAGGTCTGGAAGGCCACCTGGAATATATATATATTTTATTGTCATGCTTAATTTAGAATGGAAGGTTATTTACTTAATGTTTCGCCCGGAATGCTCAACTCGAGCGCTCGCTGTAGCTTTGATTACCGTGCCGTGTTACTCAGAAAACATTGCTTTATACTTGTTCTTTGCCGTAGCAATCAAAAATCTGTTTGACATTTCCATGTTTTCATTTTTTAAATTCATTAAATGTCCGCTTAGCTTTCGCGCGTAAAAAAAAAATGTATACACGGTGTGAATGGAATTTTGTGATCATTTTCGTGTGCATATGCTGCTTATTTTCACCGTCAACAGACGCGGGTTGACTGGAGCGGCGGTGCATCGTTTTGAGTTTGTTTATGTGAACGCGCACACGCCTGCACACAGCAAGCAGACGCGCGCGAGGCATGCGAACATGCCGTCCGTATCTTACACGTGCATAGACGGGGGAGAGAGAGAGAGACCCCCTTACCCTGACGATTACATGTGTAAAGAAGTTCCTTGGTGACATCCATTTTCAGAGGAGAGCTTTATTTTCTCCGAACGTATATAGAGTCCGAGTGTAACGACCGCCACACTCGTAATTGCTACGGCTATCACCGTCCCTGGTGGTTTTCACCAAGTTGAGCCTTGAACGGTAAAACCCCCCAAGGTTTCCACTTTGGTGATCTCGAACAGTCGGGCCCCCGATGTCGTCCACCTCTGGTCGTCCCCCTAGTCCCCGAGCAAGTACCCCGACCTCGTACCTCGCTCGGCCCCGTCCCTATCGGAGTGCCCCCCCCTACCTCCCACTTAATTATAACGCGTGTACCCTTAATTGAATCATGCTTGTACAGTCTTGTACAATACATTATGTTGTGATTGAGGGTAGGTTTTTTTGTTGTTGTAAACTAATCTTTTTGTCTAATTTTACAATCTCATCTGCATTGTTTGTCAGTGTGTCTGTGTTGTTTGTTCGGCGGGTTTTGTTTGCAATGTTAGCCCATCTTCTTGGTCCTTTCGGTAAAGTCACGTAGAATGAGAATAAAACAAACTAAGACGATAACATTCTCACGACGTTTCGGCCACGACACAAGTAGCCTTCTTCAGGTGAAGGAACAGAACTGTCGGGCCGACAGCTCTGTGTGTTGTGGCCGAAACGTCGTGAGAATTTTATTATCTTATTTTTTCTATTGTTCTCATTCTACGTGACTTTACCGAAAGAACCAAAGAAGATGAATCCTTGCAGTCACGAAAGCTTTAAGTCAAAATTCACCCAGAAATGTCTGTCCGTCCCGCGCGATATTTAATGTTAGCCTCGGTTTTTTTTTTTCCAGCATATAATTCCGTATAATTTGCACAGCTCGTAAATAATGTATTGTTACTCACGCATTTTATGAATGCATCATGAGCTTAAGAATCTATTTAAATTGATGACAGTAATAACCTCGATATTCGAATATTTGAGGTGCGGAGTTTCAGTGTAAGGAACTTCGGATGTTGTGACCATTATTTTCACGGTAAAAAAAAATGACACAAACAGAAATTAACGATTGCCCATCTACAGTCCTTCATAAATAAAGAATCAAATGATGATAAGCTACGTTTTTTGAGTGCTGTGCATCACGATGGGTCGTAAGGCTGTTTGTTTACATTTGTCTTGGCCAGCCGGCGTGTAGCAGAGCAGTACTTTATGGAGCTGTAGTGTCTGGTGGGCAATGCAACCTGAAGACTCCACTGGTGGTGTAAATATATTTGACAGTAGAGTGCACTGTTTTATTTTAATCATGTCAGTTTTTTTTATTTCAGTACTGTACAGTATAAAATTTATATTTCTTAATTTACATTGCATTTGTTTACAATATGATTGGTATGATATGAAGTGTTCATAGTATGAAATGGTTAGTTACGAAGGCTGGGAACGCATCATCATAGTACTAATGCTATAAGTAATGCAACAGACGAAGTTTAAATGTTCTAACGAAGCTCCAGGAACGCATCTACTTTGTTTATATAGGTATTGCGGTATTCGTTACATCATTAAATGCATGCTGGATATACACGTGCGTAATCCTGCCCGTGTGGTGCTTGACTTGTAATCGGAAGGCTGCAAGTTTAAATTCCTTGTGGAGGTCAACTCTAACCGTCGTCCTTCTGAAGTTGATAAAGCAAAAAAAGTACCCCGTGAAAAGTCAACAGTGATCGCCCTTTGGAAAACACTGGCCCTCACCCTAGGAATGTGGATTTTTTTTGAGAAAATAAAGTGTCAAAGATGCAAGGAAACAACACATTCCTGCGGAGGGAGCTGGTAGGAACGTTGGGTTGCTCGGTCAATGGCCAGGGTCAACGGCGGCACCACGTGGTGTATTCCGCAAATATGCCCGACTGTGAAGGCGGGCACAAGCTGGCGTGAGTAGGTTAAACGTTGAGTTTTATAAGGGCACCACGGGGTGACCAGCCCCTCCCCACCCAGCCCCACCTCTCCCACCCTCCACTCAGCCCCACCCTCCCCACCCAGCCCCTCCCCACCCTCCCCACCCAGCCCCTCCCCACCATCCCCACCCAGCCCCTCCCCACCCAGCCCCTCCCCACCCCTCCCACCCTCCACCCAGCCCCTCCCTCCCCACCCAGCCCCTCCCCACCCTCCCCTCTCCACCCAGCCCCACCCCTCCCATTTTTGGATGCAGGACGGACACAATAATCTCCTGTGGGCTGGTGGTGTAACCAGGAGGTTCCTACCAGTATGACCGTGCAGCTGGGTGATTTTACCAGCATGTGGGCATTCCTGCCTACGCCCACATGTGTTTGTAGTTGCAGGGATGTGCCCTATGTTGATGTACTCAGTGTGTGTGCGTGCATAACGTATAAGTCAACTCGGCCTCAAATGAGCACCCGGTGCTTGGTGTTGGTCACCCACCCCCTCGTGTGCTGTGCCGGCCTTCATAGGTGCTCGCTAACAGCACTTGCCCTAACCGTCTGTTAAAGTCTATATGGGGGATCTTTGTCTATAGGGTAAATTTAATATAAGTTGCAGAGCATAATGACAGTGTTTGTGCGAATGTTGTCATACGCCCATGCGCGTGTGTCGGCTTGTACACTCGTGTGCGTGTACACACGTGTGCGTATATAGTTAACATAACCGGGTGCGTCTGCCCGTGTGTTGCTCGTACGTGTGTATAATGTCATAATTATTCGCAGCCCATTGTCAACCCCCTGCTGGATAAAAGCCTCGCCTATGCATAGTCATGCATGGGGGGTTGTTTGACCATACTTCCCCACGGTCGTCAGTACCTGGTTGATGTGAAGCAGGGGTTCAGGACCAATTAAGATACAACTCTGCACGGATCTTAGCCGTGGTCGTCTATTGAACGCTGATTGTCAGACTCATGGCACAGCACTGCGCCTCTGGTCTATGTATTGTGTACGTGTGTGATGGGTGATCGTGGTTCAACGGCTCGCGCACTTTGCAAGATCATCCCAGCCACTATATGCGATTTGTGTTGATTGGAATCAAACCTGCTCTGCGCCTCGCGTAGGTCAACATACCCTTATGTGAACGCATTGCGTGAACGCAATCGCTGGGGCGGCGTGGCGTGCAAGGTGCCGATTGCACCTCCCCCATCGTGTGCCATGCCGCCCTGAACAGGTGCTCTCTGTGTGCGCACGCGCGTGCCTTTGCGTGTGCAGGTCGAGTGTTTGCCAACTCTGACGACTCGGTGTGTCTACTGGGAATGCAGCGCCGAGCCATCGTGTTCCAGCCCGTCAACTCGCTGAAGGAGCGCACCGACTTTGAGTGAGTTGCGAACGGGGGGGGGGGGGGGGGGGGTCGAGTTAAAGCGACGCTCCTAGCGTGCGCCCCCATGCAGTCCCGTGAATGGGCCCCCTGAGCCCCCTTTTATCCTGGGGTCGATGTTATCAAATCCACTGGTTCGTGTCTTTCTCTTGAACCTGTTAATCGGGAGCCCTCACTCGTACCTTTGTTGATCTTGAACACCGTACGGGAACGTGGGCTGCGTGGTGGCCCCTGAGAATGCGGTACAGAAGGTATCTGTTTTTTTGAGTGTTATTTCACCTTATTTGTGGGTTTTTGTTTACTGAAATAAAAGTCAAATATTTATAAGCTCTCAATCAAACCCCTGTCACCTCTGTAGAATATCCAAGGGTTAATATACCACCTTACACAATGCATGATCATCAGTCAATCAAAGGTGTTGGAAACCAACATTCACATCCAGTATCTCGACTGGCTGAAGGTGTTTAACACAGCCATCTGTCCAGATTTACAGCATATCGCCAAAACTGTGCTTGACACTACTCAACGTCACATTAATAGGATATGCCGTGGTAGGGACACACACCATACCATGGATGCCTTCCTTTTCTTAGATCCTGCAACTTTTGCACAGTGGACAACCAAACTCCATGGTCTGCTATCCCAGTCTCATCTTTCCCTTGGTTGCCAACTTCATGATGTCTCTTTGATGCCTGTTTCAGTAAACATCTATCTCTCCGTACTGTATTCATGCCCCACTCATCGCAACATCTGGTTCATAATTAAATCTGCAATGGTTTTTGTGACATTCTATTCCAAACTTCATCCTCTGCATGCCCCCATATTCAGTGCTCAGAAGCCTTTTTTCAGTTTTTTTGTTGAATTCCTGCTCCCTGACCTGGACAGAAATACAAACTTTACTCATGTCTGAAACACCCATCTTTTAACACTACGGTTGACCTGTTTAACCTTACAAAGGGGGTTATTTAGTCCAAAATATATACCTTAATTCAAACACAATAACGCGTTCCAGACGGCCTTCACTCAACACCCAGAGAGGTGCACATTATTGCCGCAACATATTGCCTGTAACGATGTATTCCTTCGTATTTCAGTGAACCAAGATTCAATGGGTTGCAGTTCATTTGAAGAGTAGATTCTTTAAAACTTTGTTTTGAATATAGCAGCCTCTTGTTGCGGCAAATTCTTTCATGTTTAGTTCACTCTTACAACATGGTTGGCTGTGTATGATGCGAAAGAAGTTCTACATACATAACATACAAGGCTTCGAAATCAGATATCACCAGTTCATGCACGTAATTAGGTGCATGTATTGTGAGCATAAGAATGAATTTCAATTTACATAATAATAATGCTTCTTTACACCCCACCCTAAACACGCAATCTAAGACTGATTGCATTGCTGTGATGTTCATGGGATGGGCCATCGAGTCCTTGGCCTAATCTCTGCACCGAGGGTGTTGCTCAGTGTGTAGTCATCCCGTATGCATGCTACGAATCGCCGTGAATATTATTTTCCCCCTTTGCGTCCTATGCTTAATTCCATCACGTTCAACGTCTGCGAGGAGCGGAACGGTCGGAATTGAAGAGCGATGACTTGGACGCTGCGCTTTTTTTACCCTCCCTCTCTGCACACATGCACACCTTGCGCTGGGGTTGCGGTACTCATTTGGAACGTGGCCGTGGAAAATAAATTGCTGGGTCGTGACTTGACCCTCGACGAACACGTGCGACGCTGGTGGGGTTTGTTTTGCCATACCGTGTGCTCTGCGAGTGTGCCGGGTGAGCAGCGGTGGGAGGACCCCCTTTGAAAAGTCATTGCCATGGTGGCATGGTGGCGAGATGTTAACTCGCTCGCGTGGTATACAGGAGGTCATGGGCTCAATCCCGATCCTGACGTCTGTATATTTGAAGTTTGCATGTTCTCCCTGTGGTTGTGTGGATTTTCTCCGGGTCCACCGGTTTTTCTCTCCACACTTATAAACATGCGTGAAGAGTATTTGCTGCTGTACATTTCCACTTGATAAGCCACTTTATTGAGCTATCATTTGTGGCCAGGTTGCTACTGAAAATGAGTTATTTAGCTCAGTGGGCCTTACCTGGTGAAATAAATATTGTTTTTATCGTAAAAGAAATGCACCGAAAAGTGTGTGCGTGGTGTGTGATGTTATTGCCTTGGCAAGCAAAGGGTTGTCCCCTTGTCACTGGTTTTCTAAGCCCCATTTTTTTGGGAAGGTTTTGATCAATTTGGCTGGTTTTCTATCGGGTGAGTCCCAAATAACAACAGGATTTTGACTCACATTTCATTCACGTAAGATCATCTTTATGAGTAACATTGACCCCATGCTAAAGGCTGATGGACACAACGAATGCAAAATTGTAAGGAGAGCAATACAAGTAACTTATGTATTTCAATCTTAGTTGGAAAGTGTTAAGAACGCAGCTGGCCAAGATGGAGTGTAGTATATCTCCTGATGCTTTTGATATTCTCAACAGGATTCCTTGAATTGGCTGAGTACTTAAAATTAAAACATGACCCTTGTTTCGAATATATTTTCAAGTAAGGTATACACAGCGTGAATGATATCAAACATTTACTCTGTTTTTACCAGTGCCGTTCATCACCAGAGACCAATCCCAACATTAAAGAAAGGCAGCCTTTGTTGTTTGCTACAGGTGTAGTCAGTTACAGTATGTTCTACATGCATGTTGTCGGTTAAACCTTAAAGCAACGTTGTCCGTATGTGCACATGTTGCTGCGTATAATTCTCCCATTACTCTTGATCAGTGGGAAATAACATGATTCAGTAGGCCTTCTTGTACTCAACTGAAAGAAAAAAATCATCTTTCATCTGTGAAGTACAAAAGGGGGCCATTCCTGCTTTGTTTAGATTAAAAGCCCATCTTGTTTCATTGTATGAAGTTGTAAAGCATCCCGCCGTATCTGTCAGTGATCTTCACTTCTATAATACCGTTTTTTTTTGGGTTAGAGCGTGTAAATATTTAAATGTGTCGTTAAACCTGCTACCACCCGACACAGCCAACTAGTAAGGGTTGTCACGTAAACAGAACATGCCAATTCGTCACTAGTATAGCACACCGTTGTGTTGGAGAGCGAAGCCACAACATTTAAAATCTGAGTACGATGTTTCGCCAGTAATTACAACCAGCTTCATCAGGCGACAGCCACATTTATATATTTACGCGATCTAACCCAAAAAAAACCCTGTATTATGGATTATATTGGTCACGAAAGCCGATGTGTTAAACTGATCTTTACTTCTGACAGCCCTAAGTAAGTGGTGCAAATACCACAATGCTAATTTATGGCCGTGCACAGCACCAGTGACAATTCACTGTCCGCATCTGGCCTGGGCCACCTCACATTTGATGCAGCTTCAAATGATACTTGGTGCAGTGTATGGAAATGATCACGGTGGTGGCAGTGGTGGCGGTGGTGGTGTGTATATAACACTAGTACCGGTGAAACAAAGGCGTCTGTGCATGCCCCACCTATTATCCTCCTGAATAGGTTTTTGCCAACATCCAATTGTTCAAACGGGGGGGGGGGATCTTTTTTGACAAGGTGATATTGCCACCATTATTATTAAAGGACAACTGTGTTAAGTTTAGTTTGTATGGTGCATGCTAATCATGTAATGATTGGCCCGTCCCGTGATTTTTTTCACTTGTCACGATTCATTCAAGTGATCAATAATTGTATTGCCATTGTGGTATGTGTAGAATCTGTAGTGGCTAGAGGATTTACATGAATCGAAAAAAATAACTTTCCATGCACACAATTTGTTTGCATGTATCACCAGCATAAAAATGTATTTTAATTGACAATTCGATGCATTGTCGAATGCCTAGCCTCTACCTACTGTTTTGCCGGAGGCGTTCATGTGCGGGTACGTGTTAACCCAATTTGTTGGTTTGTCCGTGTGATTGAAATGCTTCCCGCCATGAAGACTAGGAGCAGCAGTGACGTGCAGATCGCTTTTTAGCGGACGAGTGCTCTCGATTAAGTTTGGCTCCGTTCATTGATTTAAACTGAAAAAAAATATTGCTTAAGTCACCGAAGAACGAGTTCAAATCGAGCAGCATTGTGACTGGTGTTACAACCACGTTAACACGTCCCAGTTCGAATTTGTTGTTTTGACGTTTTGGTGATGCCCCACTTGATACTTTTTAATTCGCTGTCCTGATGGGTTTTGTGCTCTGGTAATGACAAATGTGTGCACAAGCCACAGTAAGCAAGTGGAGCCATCTGCAGTTATCTGGATAGCTTCAGGGCCAGGTTGATGGTATGCACTTAAACAGAGTATGCAGTTAACCACAGTTCACGCTAGCACACCTAGGATGCCTGTGGCTTGTGGGGAGTGGTGGTGCAGTGATTAGCGCACTGTGCTACAAACCCAGTGACCCCGAGTTAGATTTCCGCTTACGGCGATTATCTGAAACAGGGCCTCCCGTACGTTGACTCAGCTTCAAATGAGTATCTGGTGTGGTGTGTAAACATTGTCAGTAGGGAGACAAAGGTGGCTAGGCGTGGTGCTAGCCACCTTCCCCGTTGTGTGCCATGTCAGCCTTCATAGGTACTACTTGCTAACAGCCATAAAAGTCTGTTCAGGCGAATGGGAGATATTTGTCTCGTGCATCGTAACATACCACTCCAGTGTAGTACACAGCATTGTCCACCAGCTCCGCCACTATGCTAGAACTTACACAAGTGATTACATAATGACATACTTTTTTTAAACCAAAGCATCTAAATGTGCTCATCTTCAACATTTGTCCTGAACCAGAGGTGGAGGTTCCACATTCCTGTAGCTAGTATTTACGTCACGTCAGTCGCTGTCGACTTTTCCAGATTGTAAATGGGGTCAAAGGTATCACTGACATCCGAAAGGTTGCTACCAAGAGGAGGCCGTTCAGTCCATCTCGCTTGTTAGAGTGGGAAGGCGGTCAGAAGCTGGTCTAATAATTGCCCACACATT